CAACTTTAACTTACCAGAAAGAGTAGGTAGTATTGGAAATTCGTTTTATTACAATGCCATAAAACATTGGAATTCCCTTCCCAATGGTGTAAAAGAAATAGGAAACTATGATCATTTTAAGAGGAAATTAAAGGAATACCTAATACTTGACAGTCAGAGAAGAGAAGTGAATGACATGTTATATGATTGAAATTGTTATTCTTCTGTCGGTTCATACTTTTTCATGTTGTATATACTTATGTTTTCGTACGTTATAGAAATTCTACAAATTCATCATTATTTTCCTCTTCTTCCTTCTCCTCTTTTTCTTCTTCTCCTTCTTCTTTTTCTTCTTGTACTTAATATCATTTCTATCATCAGTTTAATGTTGTTATTATTATCTTTAATAAGTAGTTCTTTTAATTTTCTTATCTGTCTGTAAATATTACTATTTTAATTTATTAATTGTATACATGTCTGTAAGGGACCCCACTGGAAATAAGCTCTCGAGCTTTCGTGGGTTATCCTGTTCAAGCTGACTTATTTTTGATCTGTTATTATTGTATATTGTTGTATATTGGAAGCTTGTCGAATAAAAATCAATCAATCATCAAATAACAGTTGAAAACTTCACGGAGGGGGGGGGGGGGGATAAATCCCCGATACATGATGAACAACTATTACCATTTTATGAATTTACATAATTTTGCGCTTGGGAAGAAAAAGAAAAGAAAAGGAAACAGAAAATCGGTTACTGAGTTAATTTTGTATCTGTTTAACATTGATTGCCATAAAAAGCCTCGATCTTTAATAGCCTCCGTAGCCTAGGCCTATACTGGGGGGGGGGGGACATAGGCGCCGGAAGTGGGGGGGGCAGGGGGGGCAGTTGCCCCCCCAGTCAAAAAAGTGGGGGCAAAACGCATTTTTGCCCCCCCAAAACGCCCCCCCCCTCCAAAAAAAAACAAAAAAAAACAGTAAAGGAGTAAACATGGTTTGTATTTTTAATCCAAAAGAACGTAACAATAATAAAAACCTGAATTAAATCACATATACAATTCCATTCAAAGAAAAAGGAAAGTTCACAGGAATTAAATTTCATAAACATTGCGCATGCCACCTATACGGTATTTTAAATGGAGGTCTCTATAATAGCGATACGCGCATATCGTGAGCATATTGTGCGAGAATGGGAAAGCGTGTCCGTTTTTTTGTTATAGGGGTAAGAAGACATGAGCCCCTGAACGCTGGCGTAAATGGGGGGGGGGGGGGGGGGGTTACGTATTTCTTATTCGAAACAAGTGATTTACAAATGTTGATGTTGTGACATGATTTTCCGGCATTTTTTCTCCATTTTTTTTGTAAGTCATACCTTTTTATGCGTTTGTTGGAAAATAAGAAATTCCCACAGTCAGGCGAAATACGCTTATTTAGAAGCCTTTATGTCATGGTCTGCAAAGTGGCTGGGCTGCCGAAAAAAAAAAGGTGACCTGCCAATGTCACAAATAAGGTATAAAAAATGCTCATCTGACCGTAATTAAATGCTTAAAACCCCCGAGCTTCCGGGGCTTTGCCCCCTGGACCCCACCAAGGGCCCTAAGGCGGCCCCCTTGATGCTTATCTGACCTTAATTAAATACCTAAAACCCCTGAGCTTCTGGGGGCTCTGACCTAAGGCGGGCCCCTGGATGCTCATCTGACCGTAATTAAATACCTAAAACCCCTGAGCTTCCGGGGGCTCTGCCCCCTGGACCCCACTAAGGGCCCTAAGGCGGGCCCCTGGATGCTCATCTGACCGTTATTTAATACCTAAAACCCCTGAGCTTCCGGAGGCTCTGCCCCCTGGACCTCACCAAGGGCCCTAAGGCGGGCCCCTGGATGCTCATCTGACCGTTTTGAATACCTAAAACCCCTGAGCTTCCGGGGGCTCTGCCCCTGGACCCCACCAAGGGCCCTAAGGTGGGCCCCTGGATGCTCATCTGACCGTTATTAAATATTAAAACCTCTGAGCTTCTGGGGGCTCTCCCCCCCCCTTGGAACACATCAATTGCCTTACAGAGGGCCCCTGGATGCTCATCTAACCGTAATTCAATACCTAAAACCCCTGAGCTTCTGGGGGCTCAGCCCCTTGACCCCCTGCCGAGGCTCATTCCCTAGACCCCACGCCAATTTACGCTCTACCTGATCGATAATACTCCACTTTGAAAAACGTTCCGCGGGACCTGCATGTAACGTGTAAGACTGGTGGTGATGCAGATTTTTCGTCTGCCCCCCCCCCCCTTCCGAACTTTTTTTCTCATTACGTCACTGCCCCTGGAAAGTGAGCCCCCTGGAATGTTTGCCCCCCCCCCCCAATCCCAAACTGCTTCCGGCGCGCCTGGGGGGGGGGGGGGGGAGAGTACTCACATATTAGGACATAACCTAAACATATATGGGTCCCAAATACCATGAAAAATGGTTCCTTTTTCTCAAAATTTCCAACCCGAAAAACACTCGAAAATTTTGACAAATGCAATAATAATGGGTAGGGGTTTCGAGGCTTGAGCGGCACACCCCTGAAACCAAATTTGAGTACCCCCCCCCCCCCCGCGGGCCTAAAATGTCCACAAAACTTGCATGCTTTACGTTCGCGCTTACATTATTGTAAGCATTATGAGATCGTTGTAAAATGATAGAGGTCATTATTGAGATAAAATTGTTCTAAAAACTTTCCAAACGAAGTTTGTCCATTTCAGAGCGTTTAATTTTTGCACTAATTCAGAGTGTCTGGCGGGCTATACAGATGCAACACTTTAACACGATTGTGAGTTGTCATTTGTGATGAACAGTCTTACAGAGTACAGTAATCCCCTGCCTTTTCCTTTTTAGGTTATAATTATAAATATGTTCTACTATATTATATTTAAACTCAATTTAAAATCTATTTCTTCAGTCATGTTTGATCCAGCTAGGATACAGTCTGTCTTCTGCCAATTGACTCTTAAAACATGGGCATGGGTTTGAAGGCTTCAGCCGCGCCGCACACCTAAACCAATCTTTAAGTAGATAGATTTAGGTAGATTTACGCCTTCTCTATACAGTTTTAGGCTGCTGATTAGCATCTCCAAAGATTTATCGCATTAAAAATAGATATGAGAGTGAAAATTTATTGTATTCGTAGCCTCATTTGCCCATGATAAGTCAGCCGTTTCCTCTTTGAAGAGATCAAAGAGGTATATGAGGCCTTCACAATAATAATTTATCTCACTCCTTCCCGAATACAGGGTACGTTTTGCCCTATTAATGCCGATCGAGGGGAGGCGGGGGGGGGGGGGGGGCTACCTCCACCGGCTTGTTCGCCAAGGACATGAATCACCGAGCACTTGAGCACATCTTTCATGCCTCATAACAAATATTTAAAAATTCACTTGTGTTGCTCCTTCTTGCCCTATTTTGACCAAAATATTACCATAATTTTGTTTAGCTCACCTGAGCCGGAGGCTTAAGGTGAGCTATTGCCGTCCGTCACCGTCCGTCATCCGTACTCAGAACCTTTTACATTTCCATCTTCTTGTTGAAAACGCATAGTCGGATTTTATAACCAAACTTGGCAAGCATCATCCTAGTGACAGGGGATCCAGGGGGGGGGGGGGGCCGGGGGAGGGCCGCCCCCCCCCCCCCTCCCCTTGAGAAAAAAAAATCATGTAAAAACACGTGATTTTTACCTTTTCGGGTGGTTGGCCCCCCCCCCCTGGCGCTCAAGGGGGGGGGGGGGTGCAAATTTTGAAATTTCAGAGGACCAAACAAAAAATGTGCTCACTACCCCCCCCCCCCCCCCCCCCCCCCCCCCCCCCCCCCCCCCCACTGAGCGAATTTTCGGCCGGCTCGATTTTCAAATTTTCGGGAGCAAAAATTTGAAGAAAAAAAGTTGGGCCCTCTCCCCTAAGAAATCCTGGATCCGCGCCTGGATCCACTGTTGTTCATATTGCACACGGGGGGGGGGGGGGGGGGCGCTCAATGTTAAAAGTGTCACTGTTTCATCGGCTTCAAAAGCATATTTGGATTTTAATGAAAAACTTGACAGAATTCATCCTTATATAGGGTATAGTGTGGTACAGTATGTCACTGAAACAGTTCCCGTAGGACTTTTGTGCCAAAATTGATTCATCGGGGTCTTTAAGCTATCAGAAATTGATAGGGTTCAAATTTCCCGAAGACACCAAATTTCCCTATTGCGCTTTATATAAGCCATTTTGGCGCCCAATATGGACCCCCCCCCCCCCCCCCCACCCCCAGGAAGTGAAGGAGGGGTCTGAAAATTTGAACCCCATCATTTTGGGCCAATTGGGACCCTTTTGAAGCCAAAACAGCAACAACAACAACAAAAAAAAAAATCACTTTTGGCAAAAAAATCCTACGGGATTACATACCATACCGCACTAGTAGGGGATCCAAAGGTTTTCAAATGGTTAACAGGGGGAGGGCCCCTACAGCCAAAACTGTGTAGCTAGCCTACAATTCAAACAACTTCTCCAGATCCAAAAGTAGAACAGTCAACTTATATTGTGAGTAGATACCTTCTTAAGTGAAGAATACAAATTATTCATGCAGTTCCCGAATGGCCCAATTTGGTCCATGAGAGCTAGGGTAGTAGGTGGACATGCTCGTTTCATCTACTTCTTCAAAAACCATGGTCAAACTTCAACCAAAATGTGGCAAGAATTAGCCTTATATAGCCGCAGAAAAGGCAAGGTTGTCCAGGTTGTATACTTGGCCCTTATGGTGGCTCAAAAAGAGGGCCCCAACTATATAAATTTCTCTTTCCCAACAACAGACAATGCAGTCAAAGATTGTTTGCCAAAAAAGTTATAGATAGGTGAAGAATAAAAAACACTGCTTAGCAGTATATGTCCATGGTGGCCCAATTTTTACCTCTGACATTATTACCTTTGACATTTTTTACCTGGCACTGTCTAGTCACCCTAGCTGAAATTGTGGGTTTTAATAAACACAGGTCATCACAATAACAAGAAACAGAGTAAACAGTTTTTATCATTGGCATGTACGATTTTAATTGCATTTGAAAGAAATTACTATATCCAAGCTCTCCATGTATACAAACATACATGCATTTTCAAAAATGTATAATAGTGCAAAAATAGAGATATGCAAGAATTTTGAAAGTCACTGATCAACCGACTATGATCACACAAATCACAAACTGGAATCAATTATAGAAGTGTATGACACATTTCACTTTACAGGAATCATATGAACAGGCGGCATCCCATCCAACAGGAGGATCAACAGGCTGAATTCAGTCTTGTTTAAAATAAAGGGCAACTCACAAGACCATGAACATTAGCCCTATTTGATCTGATGAACCTTCGTCAAGACTCAACAGAATGATGGGCTAGGTATCAAATATCATCAGTTTCACAATGATCTTGGTTTACCGGAAAATGCTTCCTCCGATCAACAATAGATTTTAATTTTTTTTAAACTAATATACATATGGTATAAATGTACGAAAGAATTAATTCCAGACTGTTACTCCAATGATGGAGCTCTACATGTATCTAGTAAATAAGGAAGATGTTTTATGTCCTCTCGATACAAAATGTTGAGAGATTTGTTGTTTATTCCATGGCTCTATTCAGCTACAAAAACACAATTTGTGTAAAATCCAAAAGCCAGTCGTTATGAAATTGGATTTATTTATCTATTTATTTATTTGAATACAAGTATATATTGACATTGAAATAAATCAATAAATAACTATAATCCATATTTACTTGCATTTGGATTTGTACCTTCCACTCCTTAGTTTCTGTCATTCAAAGATGTCTTTTTAAAAGAGACCTAGTGCATGCCTTTAAAGTGTACCAATCACTTATATAATCATAACAATAATAATAATAGTGGAGTCTTGTATAGCACATTGCCACTCCTGGCACTCCATTATTATTACCCCAGCTTTGACATGGCTGCAATTACAGCGCTCAAGCATTTTAAGGAATCAAAAGAAAAGAAAACCTGACAAACTACAGCATAAAGCCTTATACGAAATAGTGAGCCAGTTGAAAACATCTTGAAATTGGAGTTGGATTCTGTATTTCTTCATACCAGTACTCCATAACAGTTAGCCTATAGAATGCCAGGTAAAGTGTCCCTTTTAAGTTTTAATTATTCCAGCTTTACACAAATAATCTTTGTATTAACAAAAATAAAGGTGCTTGGTACACTTTCAATTTCTTGCATCTAAATTACCTCATGCAAGAGCTTTTCTTTTCACCTAGATTGATATCTAGATGTATATCACCTTATATAATAACCTGATACTAGCCCTTTTCTAGATTGATACCTGTATTTATATCGCTCTATAATTTGTATAGGACACTTTTACATGCATTGGCATATCCAGAAACTGCCACAATAGGGGCAGATCTAGACCTCCAGAAAAGAGGGGGAGGGGCTTTACGTAACTTGACAGACCTGCATGCAATATAACCTGTTGCCAGTTGCATTGATTTTACTTCATAGGCCTTTGAGCAAGGCATACTGTTAAAACAACTTCAATTTATACTAGATATACCACTATAATGCACAACAGAATACAAGCAGAAATGGATTAATGTGCCACTGAGACTTGATGTGTAATTATATTCCAGATGTTAATAAAAGAAGAGATGCAATAAATTACAAAGTAAAGATTTCATTTCATCCCCTTGAGTTTTGCAAGTGGATGGAATTCAGAAACTAAACAGCTCTGAAAACAAATGGGAAACAAAGTCTGCCAAGCTGCTCTTCATAAGATTTATGTAATGTCCTTTTATATCTCTTCATGCCTTTCACTAGTAGAAAGAAACATTGAGAACTGTTTATAACTGCAAAAGAACTCCCCAAAGTTGGCTAATTTCATCCAATATTGCATCTCAGTCTACAGGCACAGACCCTAATTTGTCACCTTTAAACACGATTCCATCTAGTCTTGAGCCAAGCCGGACTATGTCCGTCTCAGTCTCATAGTTCAGACATACACACTGTGGACTGACAAGGGTTTACAATTGTAAAATAATTTCATCCAGCAAAATAAATTTATAGACAGTAATGTAAATCTATTGATATCAAATGTTGAAAATGAAAGATATCCTATTTTTGCAATTTGAAATACCAAACAATACAAACAAATTAAACATATACATGTAGACAAGACATTCCATATTTCCATTTCTGAATCGTACAATTAACGTAATCATCACATATACACTTATATGTATATACATAGATAATATATAAAAAAATCTTGAATTTGATTCCTATAATAAATGCACTGAAATTATAGTAGCTAAATGACTTACATGTACATGATTTATAAATATCCTGTGTTAAATGAAAATCAAAATGCACAGTATTAAATGTATATAATTACATACTACCAAGTAATATTCCACATAAAATTCTTGAATTGATTATCAACATCACTACAAATATGAAGAAGTTGATCTGTTTGGACAACCAATTGGTGCAGCAGGAGTCCCAGCTATAGCCAAAAAATTGTGGTGGCAACTGGGGTTATATTAAACCCCAGGTGGTGATAATATTGTTCAGTCTGTGACATAATGTAGATGATTTAGTCACCAGTTGGAGGAAAACAAACTTTGAAAGAAACCTCCTGTAAACACAGTACCTCCTGCCAAGCAACTGCCAGATTTTGGAAATGTCTTAAGCTAACCAGATCATGTGGGATAACTTATCACAGACCAACTGAGGAAGAGATTTCAAACTCCAATGAGTACAGGAAACTCTATCTAGAGGACTGAGTGCTTTCACTGCCAAGATCTTTCTAGTGACATTAAAAATGAAATCTCTGTTTATCCATATGAACACTTTTCACACAGGATGGTATATACATGTAATTTCTTCTCAGAAATTCAAGTTTTTCCTAAACAAGGTTAACCTCTAATCTATCACAGACATTCATAGGGGATCACCATGGGCAAATTACTCCCCCCCCCCCCCCCCAGTCAAAATGTGAAAATGTTTAAAACATGAATACTGAACATTTAGTGCACCTTGCTAATACTGGGAATATTTCTTTCCTGTTTGTCAGAATTCATTTACTCCTAACTTTTCTTCTGACAAATGTGAAACTGTTTGACACTAATAAACCAGAATTGATGTAACCCATCACAACAGATGTTTGAGACTCAACTAAAAATGTAAACAAACATCTTTTGAGATTTAAAAATCTGAATTGGAGAAACACAATATTAAACCCAGTAAAAGAAACCTGGATCCACCACTGTCCATATACACTGTATGTACTCTGTTAAACCATTATTACTACATGTAAAATCAAAATATGTTATGTTAACAACTACTGGGATTGGGACAGAAAGAATGTATGCCACAGTTTAGGTCAACTTTCTTCTGATTTATTATGTATTTTTTTATTGATAAATAAAAATAATAAAAATAATATTATTAAACTTAATGCTACATAAGTACTAGTGCCCATGTCTATCTAAACACATTTTTAAGACATTCTCTAATTTTTACTTCAAGTGGAAAATAGAAAACATAATATTTGTTCCAATCCTAAATTCTACATTTTATGTATGCTATAAAAGAAGACAAAACACATTTAATTTTGATGCCAAAGTAAAATTAAAGAGGTTTATCAAGTGAAAATATAGGTTAATTATCCCATTCTTTGAGATACATGTAAGAGAATACATGTGTTTACTGTACATCATACATCTAACAATGTCTCCTGCTTTATACATGTATTTCATATACAAAATTTTAATACTATGAACATTACAATTAAAATAGCATAGTGCGATGATAGTTTCCTAATTTTGACATATACGTTAACATGAGTGACAAGTATTTAGTTCATGAATATACATGTACATGTTCCCTACTCCCTTTTTCTTATACCATTGATACCATCTGGAAAAAGGGAAAAGAATTGTATACATGCACATCTAATAAATACATGTTTATTGTCATGGTGATTCTATGATAGGTAAATACTAAGTACATTTTAAGGTGACCCCAATTTGAGCTACCATTAGTCAAATAATGTGAATTCAGTTTATTCTTTTCAAACTAGTTTTGGATTACAGTTCTGAGAACAAATAATAATAATATGTCTTGTTTACCCAGGGTAGCCTCATCAGTATTCATACTGTTCTCCCTGAGGGCCCTGCAATCATATTATGATATGAAAGTATGATTTACTTGCTTCTAATTATACTTTTTCTTTGTATCCATTCCACGCATCTGTCTTTTCGTTATTTAACTGTCCAATAATGTCATACTTTCACTTTCCAGCTTTACCTCAATAACTTGTGTTCAAAACTCATGTGGACAAACTATTTCAAATTGAGTTTGGAAGAGCTCATAATAAACAAGAATACAATATTTGACTAAACATAACATATATAAATCTCTCTGCTGTACATAAATCATAGGTGTGTGCAGAATTTGGTGATGGGGGACTGAAACCAGGCGCGCCCGAACCATCCCAGCTTGTTTATTGAGGGTTCCGGGCATGAGGAGGGCTTCAGCCGCCTCCACACTAGACGGGATAGTGTAAATGTAAAAGCTACAAGATATGAAATCATATAAATTCTTTACCTTCTCACAGATATACTACATGTTATCTTTTAAACATAATTACCTGAAGACTTCAAATGACAGATTGAATTTAGATTAATATATGACAAACAAACTTGTTAGCGTCAAACCCTATAAGGCAAACATGTTGTTTTCTGCCTCGTTCATCTGCATCTGCCTATTCTGCTGGGTGGATGCGGGAGCAGTCACATTGCTATGGCTACCGATGTTGGCTGTTGGGAGCGTCTCGCCCACTTGCGCCCTCTCCTGCAGGAACTTGTCAAACTCTGGAATAGAAAGGACAACCAACAACTTACACAATAATGTTTACATTACATGCAATTGTTTTTGTAAGGAAGTTACAATGCTCTTGAAACAGGCAGTCATTGTACATACAATCTGCAGGATAGACATACAGAAAGATAGTAAGGCAATCACACCAACAAGAGTTGGTCTCTTGTAATTTGCTAAACATACAAGTACTGAACAGGTTAAAAGCAAAGAGACAACAGACAAGAACAGGAGGCAGGCAGATACACAAAGGAAAGAGTAAGAGAGAGAGAGAAAGAGGGAGAGAGGAAAAAAGTAAGAGATACAGAAAGAAAGAAGGATGGGATGGGACACGAGGGTTAGACAGATTAAAAACATACGCAGGCTTTAAAGGGAAAAAGAGCATGAAAGAGAGAAGGGAAAGAAACTGTTTAAAATGAAAAGACAACAAACTTACATACACACAGACAGGCAGGACAGAGAAAGACTGATAGAAGACAAGAGGATGGAAGATAAACAAGGTGCCAGAAAAAAAAAAACAGGTAGTAAAGATATCATTTTCAAAGGAAGTAATGTGTCTACCGGTATCTGTTGGGAAACAAGGAAAAGCATGCAAAGCACTAGGGGGAACAGGCAAGACGGATGGAGGCAAATAGACATACAAACAGCTGCACTGAGTGTGTGATGTTTTGATCTTACCTCCAGTCTTTGCACCTCCAATGGCAGAGAAAGAAAGAATGATAGAAATATAATCTTTAAATGAAACGTAAATCAGAGACACAAAGACGACAGGCAGAGAGTTAAACAAACCAACAGTTTAGGTTACTTCCATGGTGTTTACCTGATTTTAAAACAGCAATGGGGAACAAAGAAGAGAGCAATCCCAAGAGAGACAAACACAGAGCGAAAGGAAATTATGCAGACAATGTGCTATGTATCACATAGTAGATTTTATAATGTACATGTATGTACCTCCGTTCACAGAAACAGAGAATAGGGACTTTTAGATTTGCGTGGACTGAAACGTGTGACGTCCATTCAAGGCAGTGCATTAAAAGAACGTCGATCGTAGCATAGACCTATTGTCTTTTTGCGAATCTAAAAGTCCCTAATAACAAACCAGCACTGCACAAAGACACAGTAAGAGGCAAGAAATAGAGTGAGACGGGCAGACAGAGTGACACAGATCAACTACAATTACAATCATTTAAAGCAACAGACAAATAAGGAAATACACAAAAATATACACACACAACATAAACATTAAATAAGAAAAAATATACAAACAAACAAAATAATCTTTTGTATTTGTATTTACCTGAGCATGAGATAAATATACATGAACATGTATATCCATTGGGCCAACAGAGAAAAGTAGGCAATTCATAGAAACAGAGTCAACAGACAAGGAGGTACACAACAGACATAAAGAAAATAAACTTCAAAATCAAGTATTTCCTGAGCATGTATCATCCACAAGGAAACAGAGGGAACTAAAAGTAAACAATTAAAAGCAATAAGTACAGATAAACGGAGAAAATTACAGACACACAGAACTATATTGTGTGTATTTGGTACTCACCTGAGCTGCTAATACCTGGATCATCCACATCATCGGAATTAGTATTAGCGGCTGCGTATGTATCTTGTGCTTTGCTCTGTTTATAATTAGAAATGATAGTACTGATTACATCCCATGCTGTTGTATTGATGTATAGCAAACATTGTCAAATGCTATAAAAACTAAATATCAAATGTACATGTAATACAAATCTTAAAAAATAAGTAGGGGCTAGAAAGTTTGTTTAACACACAGCAGTTTAGTGTTGCCTTTTTATGACATTTTATTTTTATCTTGTGATCCAGAATGCTCTACATTACAAATCATACATGATTGAGCAGGAAGTGCAAACATCACTGGAAAATGTTAGTCTATTTCTGTTCCAGTACACTGTGCCAATCGTAAAACAAGAGCAATGTACATGTACTAACAAATAATAATTGAAGTCTATAATTTGGCAATGCAGAGTGAATTTATAAACACTGTTTTGTATACAAATCAGGAATTTCTTGCTGATATTTAGTATAATTTTAATTCACACTGTTTCATTTATATTTAATGAGCATTCTTTATTTGTTTAAACTATAAACAAGTTGAAAATATATTATTAAATAAAAAGCCGATTCATTTAAACGTTTACAAAACTAATTGCTTTTGGTTAAAGGTTATCTTGAGTTCTGGTACAGAAGTATACCAACTACTAATAACTCTTATTACCAAATCACTATCTGTAAGCCACTGCTCCATCTCGTCCATCCCTCCTGCTCCTTTCGATGCTGGGGCAACGACCGGTTGCTGCTAGAAGAATCAAACAAATTATTATGAAATAGTAGATACATTCTGTAGCTCTTTAATACAGATACAAAGGTGTGATTGGTCCACAGCTCGTCATATGGTATAGATTATCATGTTCAAAATGAAAAACATATTTCTCTCCTGGTCATTTTTCAATGGTTATATTGACCATATGGTCAAATGAGTATATTTTTTGGTCATACTGGATCGACGAAACCCTGCGCGTACCCATTATATGCATTGTTTTTTAGGCGTGCATTTGCTAATTGGCTTGAGAAAATTAAAAAGGCACAAGATCGCAAATACCTTTAATCTTATATCAAGGAGAAGATAACGCCCTCCAGCAGTCCAATGAATGTTCAGATGCCAAACTCTTGACACAAAAAAATAGACTGAATATCCTAAAAAGTCACATTTTCACGAAAACTCGACATTACGACTGGCCCGATGGCCCCGGGCTATTAAAATGTCAAAAAAAATGTTTTACTGGTAGGAACGTACCGGGGTAAAATATAACATGTTTGCTCTTTCATTAACATTTAATGAGAAGATTGTAAAGCAAAGTTTTTTCAGGTTTGCACGGTTTACTTGTTCATGTTTCTATGCAATGCCACAGTTTATATGTGCGTTTTGTTTTTGTTTTAAATATTTTTTTTGGAAAGATGAAAAGCCGTGTTTGCAAGAGGCGATATCGTATTATCGTATTTCCCCTTTTTTATCGTACTAAATACGATAAAATCATACTGGTTGGCATCTCTGTATACCGCACTGTATATCATCTCATTAGTGATTAAGGAAGGGAGATGGCTCAGTCGGTATAGCATCTGCCTACATAGAAGCAGGATATGTAACAGTGGAAAAGACTCATCCCTTGGATAGGATGTTAAATAGAGATCCTGTATGGAGGAGAGTCCCCATCCTTGCGTTTTAAGAACCCACTGCACTATCAAAGAGGAGGGCTGTGGTAGTACACCTGAATATGCCAGATCAGTTTGTTATACATGGGGAGGAGAGACCTGAAAGTTTGCCCCCCCCCCCCCCCTACCCCTCCACCGGCACATGTGATGGCAATGCTTAGTTATAATTTCAGTAATACCTTAAAAGCAATATTTTCATTAAATACATGCAACCTTAAAGTAAAACATACAAATCAATGTATCATGCGAGTGTATGCTATATGAACATTTCTATTCCAGCTGTCATGTAATACACAACTCACTCATTCATTCCTTTTTTTTAGTTGTCAGGTATACACATTCATGCGCTATAAAAATGGAATCCATACTGTCTTCAAACAAAAAGAAGATTTTAGTAAGTTTGAGAATTTTGTCTTATCTTCCATATCAAACAGCTTAGGATCCTGTGCATTATCTTTATGACAAAAACACAAAAAATACCCAGCAAACTTCCATAAAGGTTACCGGTAGTAGAAAAGATAGCAAAAATACAGTTCACAGCACGTGTTACAGAGTCCATGCAGGAATGTCATAAACCTATTTTAGGAACAAAAGAATCATGCTGACATTGAAGGATTCACACACAAACACACACACATTAACGTACAACAGTTTAGTGTAATCTTTTTATTAGTGATGTTCATAATTTTGATCTCTTGTATGGGCAGAAAGCGCAATAATCATTGGAGAATTTGCAAGTACATTTGTAGGTTCACAGAAAAGAGTGATTTAATCAAATATAATGATTTAAGTATCTAAACTGGCAATGCAGATTGCAATTTATAATCAACTGTTGTCATGTAAAAGGATGCTATTTCTTGTTGATTTTTGTTGTACATTTTATTCTTTTAAAGTACAAAAGGATGGAAAATACAAATTATTGTTGCAAATTCTAGGAGGGAATGGTGATGCACTTAGACCTGTAGAATACTCTGAACTGCTATGTATGGACCTTTAGGAATTTTAGAGTAGAGGTACGAATAAGGAAGCTCAGCAAAATGTAGTGGCATATATAGAGTTTTGGTAAGCCCTCAAAAACTGTTTGCCAGAATTCTTTTTGCTGTTAGATGATAAAAATTGCAAGATATATTGGCCAAAGTACGATGCTGTGAAGTTTTTTTCCTCCTCAAGCGGAATATTAAACAAATAAGAGGCAGACAAAATGTACTAAATATATAGTCTGGGTCGTAAATTCCAACAATGCAATACACATGGTATCTGCATATGTATATAGCATTGAGATTGTTGTACGAGAAGCCGTCAGGGTGGAACGGTCCTTGCATAGGAGGGTATTGTATACACATGATCTAGCATTCTTTTCATTTACACTAACATTCACCAGAAAACATGGATGGAATATCAAATTATCTATCTTTCAATACAAGGAGAATAATGTGAGACTATATTAAACACGTTTCATGACAATTTTCTTTCTGCTACCAAGACTGTGCGTGTGCTTCAAATGCATGGAGGCAAAACCAGAATATTATACGTCTCGCAAATAATACATTAATGGAGTGTTATTTGAGCTTCATTCCTTGCTTGAGGGAGAGGTCCCATAATGATATATATCTGATAAGTAGACATTGTTCAAAGTATTGAATGATGCAAATGTACTTTAGGGGAGAAAATCCATTTAAGACATAGAGTAGAAGAGAAGGAGAGAGAGAAAGGGAGAGGGAAAGATGCAAGTATATAACCTTCCTACATATACATGAACATTGAAAAAGGCTATTATTCAGAAACTTAGGGTTACACTTTTACATTCAATAGCATCACCAAAAACAAATATGCCTCTTTTTATGTGCAACTTTGTTTTGCTATTAAAGCTAGCTATACACTCATCAACAATTTTCCACTACAGTCTTACCTCCTCTGTCATGACAGCATCATACTGAATGCATGGAATGAAATAACATCATGTGACTCTAACTACATGTACATATATAGCTGCATGTGAATTGACGTGCCCTAGCTAGTACAGACATTTTATCTACATTTTCTCCTTTCCACCCAGGTGTTAAATGGGTACCCGATAGAATGTCAATGTTAATGTGGTTGGATTAGCATGTGCACTGCCACAAAAAGGCAATTAGCTGGAATGTTCCTCTACGAGAGGGGGATGTGTAGTGTAATGTGTAGAATAGTAATTGAATCCAGTGACCAGGGTCATAATAAGCCTGTAAGCACTTTGGTCAGTTAATGAAAAATTGCTTCAGAAGAAGCCTGACGAAAACAACTTGGATCTACAGTTTAACCCCTTCTGTGCCTTAAAATGAAACATTTTAATTTGTTTTAATTTTTAATTTTTTTTTTTTTTTTTTTGGGGGGGGGGGGGGAGATTTTCTTTGCCCAAAAGTCAAGAGAAGGGAATTACAGTATCCACAGCATTGTCTATGAAATGTACATTTATCTTAATACTCAATTCTACAATGAACTGTGATCCACAGTCTGGAGACTTATCCACAAGACCACAACATAAACCAAATGACCGTACCAGTCAATTGTATTTGCATTCCTCAATATTTTGTGACGTACTGTAAAACCAGAAATGTTCAGACCATGAAAAATTGTGTATTTTGTGCAGAAGAGTTTTTTTTTGACAAGAAACTTTCACATATGTTCGTATTATGGAACTGTTCAGTGCCATTAGTGAACAAGTGCAATTTTCATGGCAAGAAAGATCTTCAAAAATTCTGTGTCGTGTCAGTTGTGAAATTGTGACATTGTAGTGCATCTAAACCGATTGCGCGGAACATCATTTTTGTGTGAGTGGTTCAGGCATGCAAATTTTTCAGTTTACAGTGTTCTCAATGTCATCTGCTTTATTCAGCTGTTGTCTGAAAGTATACCATTGATTGACATATAAAGCTAATACTCACTGCTGGAGGAGGGAGGGACCTGTTCTGTACAAATCCTGCCAAAGCACCACCGGCCTGGTCTACATTAGTGTTGTCTTGATATGTACTGCCCCTGCAAAGGAACAGATAAAGACAGTAACGTAGATAATAATAATAATAATAATATTCAGTGTTTATATAGCGCTCAATAAATCGATCCAACGATGTGCCTAAGCGCTTTACAGATATACTATTACCCCGGTCATCGGATTCAGGCTTACCCACACACAATGCATGCACATTTTCCACTTCCTGGGGAGCATTCCAGCCAGTCGCCATTTTACAAGCGCACACTTGCTCGTTCAACCACATGAACTTTGCTCAACTTGTGCGCGTGTTACACAGAACCATCTTTGACAAGGCCTCAAGTGACTTGTCGTTCCTCTGAATCTGTCACATCTTTTTAGCATGCCATCACAAGTCAACTTTAAGTTAGTCTATGGGCAGCAAAAAATGAAAATTGAAAAGTTAAAGATAATATTTTTTGATCTCCAACTCTTGATTTCTTGAACAGTTCTTATTGTTGTTAAAATGTTTTATACATACACACAAACTGTTGATACAGTGTTTCAATGCCCTAACAAGCACATGAGACTAATATTATTTATCCACACATCCATCTACCCTAGTCACATCACGGAGGATTGAACAGCCTGTATTTAAAGACCCATTTTTTTCTTTAAAAAAAATAGATATCAAAACTGCGTGTCACAAAAATATCTTGTTATCAGAATGTTCCTAAATAGTAATCAAATCAGGGTCTTCTTTCCATTAGATATGAGTTATGGTATCCCCTCATTTACAAATTGTAATTTTTTTATATTTTTTTTTGTTATAAAAACAACCTTGAGATTACCCCCCCCCCCCCCCCTCATAAAAAAAAAATGAAAAAGAAAAAAATCTTAAATGCTAAAAGTAATTGATCTTTTCATGAAGATTGGATATTTGTATCATTAATGCTACAGTGCACCACTTTTTTCCATCTTTTTATTACTAAACAGTTTGAACAAAATAGAGCCTCAAAATCTATTTGGGTAATTTAGGATGAACCAGATGAATTGTGACAAAGAATATGTATTTATTAAAGCCGATAGCATTGATGTCATAAAATTGTGGATTGTCATGGCTTCGTCAAATGGGTTTTCAGCACAAAGGCCTGGTTCGGATGTTCGGCAGAAAAATGTAAACGTTTTTGCAAGCTAATAAACTTGTCATTTTGTACCTAATTTTCATGTCATGATAGCTCATTTTATATTTACTTTTTTCCCATTTTCCGCCTTTGTGATTTATGCCTATCCAGTGGTAGGCGCGACTTCACTGGCGCCATTTAAATCCCAAATCTTGACCACGCTACGTCGCGATCGCAAGCCATAAACAAAGATACATGTGCGTGATCACTGATCAAAACATGTTCAGCTCAAGCCCATTCAACAAAAAATGATATTTTAATTGTAACAATATTGGACAAATTTCGCAATATAAATAATGAAATAAATATATATTATAGTATGGTATTTATTTGTTCAGGAAAAAATAGGGATTTTATATTTTTCCTATTGAAAATAAAAACTTGTAAAAAACAGTTATTGACGAGCCTGATTTGCTATTCAAGATGGCAGCTTTCATGACTCTAACATTAGACAACAACTGTCTCGGAAAATCTTTAAGAATATCATTTATTGACAAATTGAAAACATGATTCTTTTAAAATTGAAAATAAGACACGATTCAAGACGGAAATACGAATGTAAGTAGTACTTTTCTTCACAAATAATTACGTTTAGAGCAGTTTTTTAATGTGAACTTCGTGCTGGTCGGAAGCAGTGTGCAGAACTCCTATGTGCTGGTCGGGCCCGGTCAGCTGGCCGGCACGCCCAGTGCCGACCGCTGTGGCTATAACGCTGCTTGCTATTATATTACCGAACCCCGAACCGAACCAAGTTCGGGTGAAAAATTGCCGAACTCTCCCGAACCGAACCGAACACGAACATAGCGTCTGACTTACAGCACTACTTTCAACACCTTGGTGGACCCAACTGTCGCATCTCCAAGACAACTTTGCAAGACATTAATGTATATTTGCCACTCTCCACTCGGGTGTTAAAAGGGTACAGGTAGGATAGAATTCCTTGGATGATGTGAGCACGAAAAATCAGAAGCCTACCTCGGGCAGGACAAATGTTGAAGTGCCTTAAGCACCATGCATGGTCAATATGAGCATCACAAAAGTATTGAATATCATCATATCTGATTATCATATCTCAACATACGATCTGATGCTGTCTTGGTATGTGGTGCCCCTGCTCTGTGCAAACATGTCAAAGTCATCTTCCGGAGGTGGCGGATTCACTGAGGTTGGCACATTACTGATCTGACCCAATGAGTTGCTCACGCTGCCTCCAGTCATTGCTGTCAAACAAAGTACACACATTATTATTCATGACTTTCTGATTCTTTGCCCAATTTCTGTCCAATTATCATCATTTTCTAAAGTTGAATCAGCTCTCACTCCTCAAATTGGCAACATTTATTCTTATCTTTAAGTTAACACTTCAATGTATATAGTATGAGACAAAGTACAATGTGTATGTCAAATAATCATGCAAATGACAAATGCAACACAAAAATGACAAATTTCTTCAATGAAATAGTGATTATCCATTCTAGTCTTTTGTTAATTGAACAAGGCTGGTTGAAGTTGGTGCAATGCTGAAGTGAAAATGACCCAATGTTATTTTGGTTTATATTAAATCATTCTCGCTTTAGCCTTACAAGAACTCCATCCAGCATAACGTGGGTGGCCTATATAAATGTCAGAAATAAACAAATTCATAGAATTGGTCCACCCATTCTACCGTCAATAGCGTGGTTTGACCAAACCATTCTCATACTTACAGAGCCCTGCTAATTGGTCAGTTAGACCACCAGCTCCTGGACCTTGGTTGGACACCTCAGGGTAGGGGAGGCCATTGTATGCACCCCTGGAGGGCCCATCATGCCCCCTCCCATCGGTGCTGCTGGGGGGTAGGCTGGGGCAGGTGCAGCAGCGTAGGCGGGGGCCGGTTCGTCCAATCCCAGATCAATTAACGTTCCTACACTACTCTCTCCTTGGCCAGGTGCTTGTGCCTGCATGAAACAAACCACAAAACATATCCTTGCTTGAGAATGAGAAGGGCCTCAACTCCATATCTGGTGAAATTAAGTCTTGCAATCACTTTGTAGGTCTCATTCTCTCTTACAAAATGACATAATTTGCAATTAATGATTTTCCTTAAAGGTAATACAACGTTTTGGTATGGGGTCATGAATTTGGTTCAAAGGAACATATTGGAAGCATATGCGATCCTACAATATTCAGTGATCGTTGTCGCGGTTGAAATCAAGTCTAAATTTATGAAATTGTAAAAATTAAACTCTTTATGTTGTATAGCTCCCTCTCAAGGTCAAGATTTTAATTAACCTATAAAAAATGTTTCTTGACTAAAATCGATTAGCTATTACCGTTTGGAAATTATCTATCACAACCGTAACTATCACGGCCGTAGGCGCTATTTGAAATTTATCAAAATTTACCGGGAGCACCAGTAAATTGTTATAATCAATTTTTCTCGAAAGCAGAAGTGTTTAAGGGGCTAAATTTTCTAGTGCTTATAATAAATCCACAGTGGCATCCAAATATATCAAAATATTAAAGAATCACTATCCTCCCAATTTTCAAAATTTCCCAAAACTTTGTATTAACTTTAATTAATAATAATAATAATATTCCACTTTTATATGAGATATTTATTAAAGATAAAACTTTTGCACATCTTTGCCAAATACAGAATAGAAGGGACTTAACTTATGAGCCGGTCTCATTCCCGATTTCCCGAACGAGAAGGTTCTAAACTCCCTGGTCACATTACACGTTCGTTAAAGTGTACGGGTGACACTATATGCAGGTTTTTATTCAGAATGAGAAGGACCATTGCTCCTATTCAAAATGCAATAAATTGTTTCTGTATCATAGCCCAAGACAAGTTCAATGCCTGTACATATAATAACTTCCAACAGTCAATGACTCTAATGGCCATGACAAGATTATCTTAAAATCTGTACAGAAATACCGCCTGGTTGCAATATAATGGGTCACTTTTTGTAGACATATTCTCCTACTTTTTCAACAATAGGACAACCTTCACTGTAGTTTAGGAGAGTAATTAATCCTTTTTTGGTGCATCAAGACAACTCCTCAAAAGATTTTCCCTCCAAAGAGGACCTTTTCAAACTTCTTCCACAAAAATTATTTCTATGAGAAATGTCAAGTGGCACATTTGAATTTTGCATCATGTCAAATATCACACAACAAAATGCAATTCAGAAATTTTGAATCTTGTGAAACCTGTATATAAAGACTGCTCAAGGGAGACAAGAAAAGTAGTCTTTATTAGCAGGTGGTCTTAATGTACAGGTTCCTTCAATGATAAACGCTATGCAAGGGAGACAGAAAATATGGTCCTTATATACAGACTGTAGCAATAATCTGTGGGTTAATTGGGGAGCTACCTACAGGGGCAATATGGGCAGCTCCAAGGGCAAGGTCGATTTAATCCCTTGTAATTTGAAGTTGATCAACTCACTGTTATCGGAGCGGCAGCAGGGTATACTGCTGGCATGGCAGGCATGGTAGAGGGGGCTTGAGATGGTTGGGTACTCTGTGCCTGGGACTGGCGATAGCGCTCGTAGCGGTCGAAGCGGACAAACATATTGTTCAGGTCATCGTTCACTCTCAGTAACTCTCCTGAAAAAATACAGAGTCAAGAGAAAACAGAACTATTAACAGCTACAATATGTGTGTAACATGGTGGAATATTGCTCATGTAGTCCTTTTCTCTTCTTGCTGTATTCTCTCTCTCTCTCTCTCTCTCTCTCTCTCTATCTTTATCTTTGTCTCTTTCTGCTGTATCTTTCTTTGTCTTAATTTGTTATAGATGTATTTATAAAATGTGCTGGCATGTCTAGTTGAAGCTATCTATTGAAGCTATCCTGTTCCCACACTGGGATATAGCCTTTATGACCCTATTGCCATTCACAGTATAAATCCATATCCTGTTCGATACAATACTGAATACTAGTGTACTAGACTTTAGTGCCATTCATAAATCTGTAATAATAGAGATTAAGTTCCATGAAAGGGGATTTAGATATCAGACGGGCTCTTTGTGGTCATTCATGCTTTGTGACTATTCTTTGAAACATATTCTTTGAAGAACACCTCATAGGACTGTGTCTTTGGCCATGAGTGGTGACCTTGAACCAATAAGAGTAGAGCTTTAGATTAGACCCCTTCCCCCTTTTTAAAGTAATGACCAATAAGATGATCGGAGGAAAAGTCGAGTATGAATGTTTAATGAGGTATAAAAGTAGTTTGCATGAATGTTTTGCTCACTTGGCTCCACCCTGACTTTGGTCTCCTCTACCTGTACCCCTGTCCTCCAATCTCCCTCAAGCTGTCCCTGAACTAACAACTAATTGCTGAAGGTGAAAATCAACAAGTTCTGGACTCACAAAGTTATCGAAGTACAGCGTTGTTCCAGAATCGTTCAAGAAAGCCAAGTCACTTCAATCACCAAGTCAGGAATATTCAACTTAAATTATACAACATACTTTGAGGGAACTTAACTTGAAAATGTCAGGAACTGATTGATAAGGAGGAACATTGATAGGAGGAACATTGAGTGCAGATACGTCGGCAAATAGGTACCATTAACCCTATGCCAATTTGATGCTGTGTTCCTGATTTTGATCCTGAGTTCCTGAATTTGAGCCTGTGCTTCTGCTGTGTATCTTGTCGTCCTGATCCCGCAACCGTGTTCCCGATTAGATTCCCGTCTCCGACGTCGTCATCTTCCTGTCCCCACACCCGTAGCATTGTTGTCCATCTCTTCATCTCGTCTCATCAGTACATCCATTTGATTCGCGAACAGTCTACCGCGCTGTATGTAAGTGGCCACGGTACTAACAATTTCTAACTAACCTCCCTCTTCCCATCCCTTAATGTCCCATTTATTTTAGACCAACAAGTTAAGGCTTTTAAACTATATTTTAGCTTAAGGTGTATTTTGATATAAATATATGTTGAAGAGAAGACAGAGATCTTCTGGATTATTGATACTATTTTCACGACATTGTTTGATAATAAATACTGTTAGAAGAATAGTTGATACAAGTCAGTGATTGGTAAATAAACATATATGACACCTTAAATACTATATTGTGTCCCAGCGCTCTTATTCTTTGACTTTATTTTAAATCGGTGGTTTATTTGAACTAACCCCTCCCCCGAGTGGAAGTCATAGCTAGAGGACCAATACAAAAACCTGATTTCACTCAGAGCTCGATTCTACTATTTCATTATAATAGAAGACGGCGTGGCGTGGGCGGTTAGATGTGTATACATGTACGTCAGGTATTTGTACTATTCAAATGGTTTTCAAATAATAACTTTCTTCTACATGACTCGCCCTTGAAATCATGTGTGTAGTATAAACAACGATTTCTTACTCATCTTTTTTCTTCTAAACTTCATTCTGTTCTCTGTTAAAAGAAGAAAAATATTCAGTAAAACAACAACAAAAAAATTTCTACTTGAATGACCTACCTGTGACCTCTTCATGAGTGACCTCTGATAAAAGTGTAACAACCCTCTTCTGCATTGTACGACAGGTTTGGTTCAGTTCCTGTATGACAGACGATTCAAGAGTGGAAAAGTTTGGATTGAATGATTGATTAATTAACTGAATGACTGATTGACGACTAATCTATTGATTGACTGATTGAGTGATGGACTTGACAGACTTATTGTTGTCTGATTAAGTGGCATCTTTCCAAGACAGGGGTTCTGTCAATGTAACTGGGCAGCTCATTTTCGGACCCCCATATTACAGGTTTAACCAAGTTCTTCCCAATCACCACCACCTTCATCATTGTAGGTGATGTCTTCCCAGCACAGATCATCTGCATCAGTACCGGTACCTACTCATTTTTGTCTGGATAGTGTTGGAATGATTGAATGAATGGACAGCAAGAGATCTTAACATTTATGTATTCTTCTCTAAATTTCTAATTCATCTTAAAAAATCACAAGGCCCCCAAAATAAGGTGTTTAGGAAATGAAACATATTCAATGACATAGGTAATGCTTTGTTTTCTTGATATTAACATATATTGCACTGCATGTTTTTCACATGTTTCGGACAGCAATGTGTCATAAATATAGACAGAAGAGATGTTTGAAAATTAGTTTTTATCTATCTTTTATGATAATTGAACAATTCATGTACATCTTCTGATCTACATTGCATTCTGTCAAAATACTAATGACAAAAATTGAAATTCAGTGCCAAAAAGACAATAATCTGCAATGTTATGTCCATGTGAATGCCTGCGCTAGTGTGAGTGTGTATTTGTGTCTGGAGAGGAAAGGTTTGGATGACTGCAGATGTAAGGTAAAAGTTAAACTGATGGTTCACATTGTCGTGAGTGTTTCAAACTTAGCCAGTGCTCACTCAAGCATATATATATTGTCAATATTTATAGTGCCATTGGATTGAATGGACCCTCATCGATAACTGCATAAGAAAACAAATCATGCAGATATTGTGAAATTATAATTTTGGAGGATATTTTGAGTGATTACTTTTTTGTATAATTCTATGTTTGTCCATAATTATTATCCTAATTAATATTCTCATTTGTTTAAATACAAACCTGGAGCAAGTCAAGATCATCTGGATTCTCCTGTCCTGGTTGCATTTCAGTCAGCATCTCAGACATGACCCTGACATTACCCAGGACCAGGTCTAGTTCCCTCCTGAGCTTGGTCATGTGATCTGCTGAGAAGGTCATTGGTCCCTGCTGCTGCTGCTGCTGCTGCTGCTGCTGAGGGGGTACTTGGGCAGGAACATGAACAGGTCCAGGTCCAGGTATAGGCTGTGTTGGCTGAAATTAGAATGGATATTGGGGAATGGGACCAAATTGATGTCGGGGTAGGAAATAAAGATGGAATGAGAACAACAGCTACTGTTACTACTTCTACTACATATAATTATTGTTCTTTATGATGTTGTTGTTGTTGTTATTGCTGTTGTGTTTATGTTGTTATCATCATCATCATTATTAGTATTATCACATTCATTGTACATTGATTGAATCTGAAGAAACTTGATTAAGAACGTACAGGGGCCTTACATCAATAAACATGTGCTCTAAGGTAACCCAATCGTTAAAGTGTAGCAATCAACCGCCAACAACAAATATTATCTTGATGTGAAATTGTAAGAGAGTCCATGTTGCTATATTGTATTCAGAATAGGAGGTTCAAATATTACTCAGTACAGAGAAATATTGCAGTTTTAAGTACACTCTCAGTAAACATAAAAATCACTTGTTGAGAAGACCAGTTGATGTCACACTTACAGAGAACAGGGTGCCTTACAGAACCCATATTCCATGCAAAGGTTCCATGCAAAGGTTTCATGGTATCCTTTTAATATATACTTCATACTCCTGAAACCTATATAGCCGGGTAAAGATTTTTTAAAGGTTGATTTTGTACATTCTAGCAATAAACAGACTTATTATTGCAGGTGATTGGTATACACTTTAAATAAAAAAGAAAGTCCCCACCTGCTAAAACCTTTATATATATGTGGCAAATGGGACAAATTGGTTTGGCTGGCATTAATATAAATTGTGGGTGGGGGAGGGGGAGGGGAGTGTAAAGTAAGGGAAAGGATTAGGCCACATCTGAATGTCAATACCTGTCTGGTAGGAGCTGGTCTATTCATAGCAGGGTCTACCTCTGGTGTGACTCTCAATGGGGTCCTGATGGGGGACAGTGCATCCAAGTCCATTGGAGGGAATTCAATGGACTTGCTCTTCAGTTCCTCGTACACCTTGACCACGCCTTGCAGGGTGGGGTCGTTCTTGAAGGCGTCGGCCCAAGACTGAATTAAACCCAGAATCTTCTCCTACAAACATCATACAGAAAATTCATGTATCAGGTATTTTGCCAGACCTACTTCTGTTCTACCAAGTGTTTATCATTTGTCAAATTCTTATATTAAATGAGTGAACTTCTAAGTCTTGACATTTTTCTTTGGGCTGCATGGTTTTATTCTTTAATTGGACACGAAATATCTTGCATAGGAATAACATTTTATAAAAATGACTACCGTATTTGCCAGCGTAAAGGCCGCAGTATTTTTGGAAGAGAAAATATCAAAAAGTCTGGGTGCGGCCTATGCTCAACTACAGTCAAAAGTCGCTGGTCAAAACAGCACGTAAAATCATACATATGGGACTACAATGACTATACCATTAATGTACAATGGTACAGGACATTCCTAGAATAACTCCACACATCTTCAGAGATGCCGAGTTCAAAGATCGGCAATGCGTGACATTTTCATGATTCGGCGCGCAAGCGCGCGTGCGAAAGTATAACACACGTATAAGGTATAGCGTTTTTCAAAATCTAGCGCGCACGTCGTGCGTAAGAGCATTTTCAGACCCTCGAAATGCGTGATGTCACGCCTAATGCGTGATACATAGTAGCTCTGCATCTTACCGACAATTTTATGTTGCATTGTAAAGATGAAAATAATCTTCATAACTGATTGTTCAAACAAATTCTACCAGTAGATCTAGATCTATTGTTTGTGCCATTGCATCGCTAAAAAGTAAAACAGGGGACCGTTACCGAGCTGCCGCACAACGCAACTGCGCATCCAGCCGAGGTCGCAATTTTGCATTACACCGTACATTGTGGTAGGGGTATATATCGGATACCAAATCTGCATGCGATACAGTACTACCATAGCTTAAAAATTGATGAAAATTAGCTAAATTACAATCATTTTTTAGGTAAACTTCCTGTAAATTTAAAGGGCCCATGACATCATGACATGACATGACATCATGGGCCCTGTAAATTTAAAGGGCCCATGACATTGAAATACAAATGTATTCCTGTTGGTGTGCAGTACTGCATACATCTCATATTTTGATATGTAAACTTTTGAATTTGTTTCATAGATTTTTAAATATATTTTGAAATATTTGTTTTTCAAACTTGCTAAGCTCCCCCCCCCCCCCCCAAAAAAAACCTCCAGATCTCATTCCCCTTGTGACATTATCTGTCAGTCAGAAGAAGGAGAACAAAGAAAAGGAAGAGAAGAAGAAAAGTACTAATAGCAGATTCTTGGACAACATTTCATATCCACAATGCATGATATACTCACATATTACACCAGCAACCAGCTTGAGCTAAACTTGTATGTTGCTATTGTATTACGTATTGTAACAGGTGGTCGACTTCGGCAAAGATACATGTATACCACTTTCTCAAGTTAGCTCATTGATGACTGACAGATGATGTCACAAGGGGAATGAGATCTGGAGGTTTTTGAATTGGAGCTTAGCAAGTTTGAAAAACAAATATTTAAACAAATATTTAAAAATCTATGAAACAAATTCAGAAGTTTACATATCAAAATATGAGATGTATGCGGGACTGCACACTAACAGGAATACACTTGTATTTCGATGTCATGGGCCCTTTAAAAAAATGTTGATGAATTTGGTATCAGTTTGCAGAAAAAATAGTGTTCTACGAGAAAATAATTATTATTTTTGTTTAGTCCGTTGTTTTTTTTTTCCTTTCGTTTTTTTTTTTTCCTCTACGAAATGTTGAAGTTAGAGGTGCGGCCCATGCGGCGCTGCGGCCTTATCGCCGGCAAATATGGTATACTTGTTTCTATTACAAGAAGTACAGCATAGACTCTCTTAGTCCAAACACATGTCTTACTTTATAGCCATCCACTGTGGATGATATATTTGGAATGTGCAGACTTGTAATGGTTTGCAAATACCTGGACATATTTCTAATACTTATGCAAGAGTTAAGGGAATCTGTTTTCATTGAACAAACCCAATTAAGCCTTGTGTAGAAGCTATGATGAAAACCTGATTAAAGGTTTGTACACCTTGCTCTGCAGTCAATATCCTGCACAAGCTGCATTCCTAACTTCAACAATGGACCAGACACTATACTTCTTCTTCTGTAAGTCTTCAAAGGGCTATGCTGCCTATTTCACTAAGAACTGCATGTATGTAGATTACCAGTTGTGTATGCAGGCACACTAAACGCCAGGTTTACAACTACTCCCTAAGCGAAGTGTAGCATATTATTATACATGCTTAAGGTGTGACTCTCCTAGGGCCTCCAGCTAACATTCTAGTCCGAGGGGATTTTTGTCTGCTCAGTGCGGGACTTGAACCAACACAAGTAATGAGTGTCATGAGAGCCAGACGACGATCCATTTGCAGAACACTGCCTCATCCATAACCAAAAGTAACCTTAAACCTAACCTACATGTAAAACCTATGTGCATACTTACCCTAACCCTGGTTTTTCAATGAAATAAGGCCTAGAGAAATGTTCACTGGAGCATAAATGTATGTCAGAGGACCTTATCAACACAATCTTGTTGCTTATATACCTGTACAATAGTTGGTGGATTCAGGTTGGGTTGAATGACTTTAACCAATTCCTTGCAGAACTCTTGCTTACAGATCGGTACATGGAAGCGATGCTGACAGTTCTTCACACATGTTTCCAGAATCTGGAAGAAAAGAATGTATCACAGACAGCTAAATAAATGCTATCTTTCAAAAGCAAGATCTTACTTCTAATAATGATGATAAAGATGATAATTACGATGAGATGAAGGAGGAGTAGGAGAAGGGGAGGGGAAGGAGAAGAGGAGGGAAAGGGGAAGGAGAAAGAGGAGGGGGAAGACGAAGAGAAGGATAAGAAGAAGAAGAACAAAGAAAAGGAAGAGAAGAAGAAAAGTACTAATAGCAGATTCTTGGACAACATTTCATATCCACAATGCATGATATACTCTTGCCACTCACATATTACACCAGCAACCAGCTTGAGCTAAAGCTACCCTAGCTTGGTACTCACACCATTCAAGGAATATATTCCTACCAGCTATCCAATCACTACACCTGGTTTTAAAGTGGCAAATGTTGATTGATGACTTGCCAAAGGACATTAGTGCCAGGTAGGGAAATGAATCCCCAACCTCTTGATCTAAGTTCATGTGAATAAACCACTATTACGGTACTCAAACACTTTCACAAAACTTTGACACAAAGAACTAACAGTAATAGGATAATGAACACACAGGTACAGAACTCACACATGTTAACAGTATAGCTCAAGTATAGTTCTCTATAGAGACAAAACCTGAATACAGGGAATAATTTTCCTGGTATCGCATCGCAATTTGCTATGCATTTTTGCATGACTGCTATACAAAATATCTTTTGTGTAGCAGTTTTCTTCCATAGAAATGTACAGAATTTCATTTGAAATATTTATCCATCGGCTGAAATTGCTAATCAAAAAATTTGAGGAAAATTATTCCCTGGAATAGCTCACTTGCCAGTATTGTGCCTTGGAGCAGATATATCTAAATGTGTGTGAATGTTATTGCTACATGTATGTTATTTTTAATCTAATGAGGAAGTACTGGTATGTGGGTAATTCCATAAATTAGTGACCCACTTTGTGACATTTTTGGTGTCCCTGTTACATAAGGAACCCACACGTATTTGTGGCTCTGAGTCCCCCCCCCCCCCCCCCCCCCCACTCAGTGTTATTTAGGGTACACATATGCTTGTTCCCTCTTTTTGAAAGCACCCCCTATCTGAGGACTGCCAACATTTCCAAACCCCCTTTCGCGGCCTTTTCCTGCCTCAGAGACCCCCCTAAATCATGAAAAATGCTCAATGTACCCCCTAAATTTGGAATAATTTTTCAGGAGTCCAAAGAGATGAGAGAAAAAAAGAAAAAACACCCCCTTTTTAAAGAAATCTCCGGGTGAAAAGTTAATAAACCCCTTTTTTTACAATTCTCGGGCCGGACTTTGTCGCACGAAAAGTACCCCTTTACCGGACATTTTGGTAACACGCATGGGGTCCGTTCGTTCTCGGAGTGGGGGGGGGGGCCGGGCTCTGAGTAAAGACTTAAATATTGGAGTATGATTGTTCAGTGACTCTAGGTATGAGGATGCAATATTATGCTTGGAAATCACTTTACAATCTCACTCCACTATCTAAGTCGTTACTCAGAGCCACAAATATGTGTGGGTTCTCATGTAACAGAGACACCAAAAATGTCACAAAGTGGGTCCTTAATTTATGGAATTACCCCTATGTAATCATAATTCACGGCCAAATTGCCCTAATGGTAACATGTACATGTATACATATATATTTGCCTCTCTCACATTGAAATGAATAATCTTCTTCGTAAGACATTTAAGGAGATTATCAAATTGTCATCTCTAGCAGCAGGAAGTGCAAACATATGACTCACACTCCATATGAAATATAGAGATCATATTACTTTGGAGATAGAGACTTGTAAGCCTACGTCAGGATTGGAAGGGCAACTCATACATGTATGCATGTGCTGTAAGATAATATCAACAGTTTCTAAAGCAGCACGATCTAAACCATAATTTGATAACATTTACTTTAATCTTGTGGATGTCTTGCTCGGTTTGTCGGGACATTATTCATAGGCAGGGTGGCCCATTAGCAGCCCCCCCCCCCCCCAATGAAATCCTCTGAATATACTTGTAGGCTAATCAGCATTTTTAAGTGAATATTGACCAAGAGTGATCAGAAGAATTATTTACTATAATTTGTACCAAGATTAATAACTTTAATGCAATATGAAAAAAAAAATAATAATCCTCACATAGTGACCTAAAAAGACCTTTGACCTTGACTTTGTGACCTGGAATTTGTGTCGTAAGATTTGTAATACTTGATGACCCTTGTGTACAAGTTTCATTGAATCTGAACAAACACTTTTGAAATTATGCTAAAAATTCAAAATCTTGATGTTAATGCCACAAAAGAGTCTAAGTTTGTTGACCTGATATGACCTTTGACCTTAACTTAGTGACCTGAAATTGTACTCATATGATTGGGGATACTTGATAACCCTTGTGTGAATTTTATTGAATAAGAACTTATACTTTCAAAATTATATTCAAAATTCAAAACTTAACCTGAGGTTAAGTTTTCGATGATGATGCCACAACATAGTCTAAGTCTGTTGACCTGAAATGACCTTTGACCTTGGTTTTGTGACCTGAAATTCTGCTCACATGATTGGGAATACTTTTAAACCATTTAGTCCAAGTTTCATTGAATGAGAACTTATACTTTCAAAATTATACTAACAATTCAAAAACTTAACCTTAGGTTAAGTTTTTGATGTTGAAGCCGTCGCCGCTGCCGCCGCCACTGGAAAAGCGGCGCCTATGTCTCGCTTTTTCCTACGCAGGCGAGACAAAAACAAGTGGAAGGACTTTCTGGATTCTAGCCAGGGTAATAATCGGGGCAGCGCCAGGAGCGTCACAACGTGACGGACATGTGCGCTATATAAGAAGCCACCATTATTATTATTATTAGTATAACGGTCAAGGGGTAGATTTGACTCAACCCATAACAGTATAGAGTTTTCTACAGGTATGAATCAGCTATCTTTCCTCAAATTGAAAGCAAGTATTTGAATTTGCCACTCTATTGTATTAAAAAAAAAAAGTATATAAAATGAAAAAGTGTGAATGAAAATTATAAAAAAAATCAAAATGAAACTGCCAAATTGTACATAACAAAAATGATGATACATTTCATTCTGCATTGCCCAGATAGACAGATTTAAATCACTCTTATTCATAAGCAGCACAATGTACGTCACACTGCAAGAAAGGGACTCAAATTTTCCAGTAACTTTTTCAATTTCAATTTCAATTTCAAATTTATTCATGTTTTCAACAAAACATTACAAATCAATTATAAGCATTTAAAAAACAATTAAAAATACATGTTGGAAACAGAGGGGTCCACTAAAAAGCAATGCTTGTACAAGTGTCAACTGTGAACACTTCAAATGAAACTTAGGAATAATGAGTAATTAAATTAACTAATCTGTAACTACAAAATAACTTTTGCTCATGTACAATTTGTAATTCAGAACATTCTGGATCAAAAGTAGGCCTAAATCGTAAACTACATTATACAGAAAATAAATAAATACACATTGTTTGTTGTTTGAGGTTACTTACCGTTAGACTGAAGATAACTTCTTTCCACTTCTTATTCCCAAATAATCTCTTCTTCAGGGCTTTTACAGCATCTTTGGCACTGTAAGAAGAAATACATAAAGAAGAAACATAAACTTCATTACCGGTAAACAAAACAAAAAGATGAAGAAGACTGCGTCTCTAATATATGCCTCCACCTTCATGTACAATGTATGCAAATTCATTCATGAATAATCATGTGACCTTTTCCATCTGATCTCAAGGACCCAAATGCTTTTGATTTAATTTCTTATGTAGGAGAATGTTTTAAATAATTGAGCCCAGTGACGCTGGTTCACTTTGTATTAAATTATCACTGACAGCATTAAAGTTTTTTTCTGGTATTAATGAACACTTTTATGACCCTGTGACCTTTGACCTCTTCCATCCAATATCTTCACAATTCATCCTTGCATGCATGTTCACAAATACCTCATTGAAGTTTTGTTTGAATGGCTTCATTGCTTTTCACATTATCAAGGTAACAGGATATTTTCTGGTAATTTTTAACACTTTTACGCTCCTGTGACCTTTGACCTATAACCTCTTCCACTCCAAAATCCAGTCACTTTATCCTTGCAATGCTCATGCAAATAATATAACAGTTTGGTTGGAATTGCTTTAACATTTTTAAAGTTATCAAGGTAACAAGGTATTTTCTGGTATTATACCCAAACAAAATAGGACACTGTGACCTTGATCTTTGACCTCTTCCATCCAAAGTCTATTCAGTTCATCCTTGCATGCCCATGCATACTCTATCCAAATTTAAAGAAAATCTGTCCAATGGTTTTCAAGATATGGCAGTAATGAAATGCGGGACTGATGGATGGACGAACGGACGGACAACCTGAAACATAAGATCTCCTGCACCATCTCTTGTGGCAGAGCATCATCCAGTTCAAGACTGTCAAAAGCTGATGGAATCAGATACATTAGAGAAAATAATGAATACCGGTAGTTTTACGAAGATATATGATGGAGACATGTAGGCCTAGATATATAGGCCTTTCCCAGCACGCCTTCAACAAAATGTTACATAAAGATAAAATTGTAAGCAAATGTATCTGCTTGCTGGAATACATTACAGGCCATCTCTTTGTCTTTGAACAGGTCAAAACTGCAAGTTTCCATTCACTGGTGCTATATGATCCATTTAGATCCAAGACTCCAAACAGTATCAATAAAACTTATAATATCTCAAGATGCTTCATGTATAAATTTCCCTGCAAATCACCTCTGCAGTACAACAAGTGATCCATTTCTCCAATTCTATTATTACACAAAATGGACAATGCATACAACACAGATACAGTGTACTGTACATTGTACATGTTAAAGGAAACCAAAACCTTCATACTAAGTTACTTTTATTGTAAAGTTTGAAAGATTTGAATAAAATCAGTGAAATTTGAACAAAATCAGGCAAGGAATAAGAAAGTTAGAGCATTTTGAAATGACTAGTCACTAGAGGGCGGTATTCAATTTGATGACATCATCTGTGAACAACTCTCCATGCCTTTTGTACATAAAATTTCACAATTTTTTTGTTTTCTTCGTATTTATTTGTGTTCTTGATCCGACTTCATAACATGTGAAGTAGAATATCATTTTGCATTCTATATATTGCTTTCAGGGGAGTACATTATCTCAATCACAAGAAGGAAGGAAAAACATGAAATTTGATGTACAAAAGGCATGGAGAGTTGTCCACAGATGATGTCATCAAATTGAATACCGCCCTCTAGTGACTAGTCATTTCAAAAATCTCTTACTTCCTTATTCCTTGCCCGATTTTGTTCAAAATTTCACTGATATTTTTCAAATATTTTAAACTTTACAATAAAAGTAACTTAGTATGAAGGTTTTGGTTTCCTTTAACATCAGTGAAGATGTGGCACTATGAGAAAGAGAGAGAGAGAAAGAGAGAGAGAGAGAGAGAGAGAGAGAGAGAGGGGAGGAGAGAAAGAAATAGAAATGATTATTTCAATTACTCCACGTTTAGATCTCGGTTTCTATGGATATGACAAGGCTACCCTTTTTTTCCCTTCATTTTTTAAAGAAGTATAGTATAGAATTTATTGACTCATTCGACCCCCTTCTGGGGTATGAGAGTACAACACATGTACATGTCATGATAATGAAACATAATAAAGAATACAAACATAGCTTAATAATACAAAGAATACAGAATACAAAAAAAAAAAAAGTATAACGATAAATAGGAATGATCTAAACCTAGCCTATGCTAAACATAAATACAATATTATACAATATGGCAAGCATACTGTACATGAAAAGTGGAGAACACCACATGAACAATCTAAATACAAACATGAAGAAAAAGAAAGATAAAAACAAAAAATATTTTTTTTTAAATACATTATTGTCTGAACTATACAAGAAATTAAAAGTTTCAATTTTGGACATGTAAGTGAGTTGTGATTGGATTGTTGAGATATACATGTATGCAGACTAACGAAATACGGCATAATCGTCCATTGGACAAACAAAAACATAATGGAATATAATGTAATAAGACAAACAAAAACAAAAAGAATACGAGTCATAGAATATTGCAAGATGAATAAACAATCATTGTCTTGACTATTTTTCCTTTCCCTCTCCCTCTCTCTCTCTCTCTCTCTCTCTCTCTCTCTCTCACCCCCTCCCCCCCCCCCTCTCTCTCTCTCTCTCTCCCCCTCCCCTCTCTCTCTCTCTCTCTCTCTCTCTCCCCCTCTCTCTCTCTCTCTCTCCCCTCTCTCTCTCTCTCTCTCTCTCTCTCTCTCCCTCTCTCTCTCTCTCTCTATCTCTCTCTCTCTCTCTCCATGCTATCCTCTACCCCTTGTTTCCTTCATGCAATGATATGCTTTATGAATATGAAAACAATTTTATTAGCGGCTTCATCTTTATACCAGCTGGATCAATGGATATATGAGCTCAATGAAGGAGTCGACTGGGAGCTGGAGAAAGGATAGGACAGTAGATACAAACATGATGATCATTATACAGTAGGTTCTTTACAATTATATTACATACTCACTGTAGTATTTTTATTTTGAAATCAATTCCTTCAAATGTTTCCACACAATTTTGTCTGTATCAATTTGTTCCTTAAGCTGTATTTTTGTCCAAGATGAAATTTCTTTATGCCCTGCATCAACCACTTATTTGGTTTTATCCTGTGCCATTTTGTTCTGCAAGTTTGATCAATGAAGTGATGTTTAAAAAAACTGTTTTATCAATCAAAGTATAATAAATTATGAGTGAACTGCATAAATTTAAAAGTCCATTAAAAAAATTACATGTAGCAGCAAGAATGGAAAGCAACAAGGCAACACCTTAAAATAATGTCAATAATTATTATCAATATATTATAAAACTAGATGGATCTTCAACTGCATGCAGTCAAAAAATATGCCTCTACCATGGAGTAATTTTTAAAATTCAAGTTTGATTGTATTTGTAATCCATAACAGGTTCTCAGAATATTGTGATTACAAGCTATTATTCATATGGCTCTGTTGACAATCAGCCATGCATAAAGTCTTTCGTCTATGACTAGGAGCAGCAGCATCAAAACAATATGTGTGTAGATTAGAGTATAATGCATCTCTGTAGAAAATTTCAAAGAAATCTGTCAAGAAATGTGGCAGTTAGAGCGCAGTTAGAGCGCACAAAAGACAACCACCAAAATATGACCTTTGACCCTATAACAGACGGAACACAGGTGGCAGCATCACCAAACACATAAAAAAGTGTAAATAGTATTAGTAGTAAGACACACCTCCATACAACATTTAAAAGAAATCCATCAGGAAATATGTGGCAGTTAGAGCTCATAAAAGACATATGACCTTTGACCATATAAAAGATGGAACAATAAAGGCAACTTTGCCCAAAGTGTAGATTGTACCAAGATACATTTCTACTTCTCTATACAAAATTTGAAAGAATTCCGTCATGAAATATGATCTGCAGAGCGCAATCTACCCACCAAACTATGACCTTTTGACCCTATAGAAGACGGAACACTGGGGGCAGCATCACCAAAAGTTGTAGGTGTGTAGATTATATACCAAGTATACCAAGATACACCTTCACACAAAATTTGAAAGAAATTTGTTAAAGTTGATACTCTAAGACAATCCCAAATACTGAGATAATTACATAAATAGAAAGCTTTTAACCCCCATAATAACACCAAATGGTGTCCACCCGACAAAACAAGTTTAGAATAATGAATTTATTCGAGTAAACTCTACCAAAATATCTAAGTCTGAAACCCGGAAGTGCACGTAGAGTCGGGCCTCTATCCGTGACGTCACGAACGGGACTCATGGGCTCAGTGAGAGTGAATGGCAGTGATATCCCTACGTAAACGCTATCCTGTCAGAGCTTAGATTTGTTGTTGACAAGGAGTATATTTGATGGATTTTCTGTTTTCATTTGAATGAAGAATAACGAAGCAACATTTTCCAGTCGCTGATTTCTTTTTATATCCTCATATTCACCTATTTGGTAGAGATTTAAGACTAGTTTACTGCTTAGGAATTAAAGTTAAATCGCGCATGTATGAATATAGGCGGATGCATTATATATTGTCATCAGATAAGGTACAGGAGCAGTTTTGTAAAACGAATAGGTCTAGAACTATGATAGTACTTATCATAGATGTGTGTGACTGCCTCAAAAAAGGATACAGTACCAGTAAAATATCAAACTTGAACGAGATCATGCAAGCGCGCTTCCTCTATAATATTTTGGCGAGTGATGCGACTCTTGCATGAACGTTCGTGAAGCGAGCAGAATCGGGAGGTAAGACCAAGCCGCTGCTTGCTTGTGATGGAACGTACGTGCGCTATATGTTTATAAATCGGCAATTGCAAGAGAATGAAAGTGACGTTGCCAGCTAAGAAAAACAACTAACAAAGACTTGCTCCTGACTACCGGTGTCAGAATTGGTAGATGAAGGATCTTCAGGGCCAAGGAAGGCGAAAAACATGGGAAAAGGGAAGAAGAAACCATCGGGAGATCGCTGTAGTGTATGGTAATGAACTGTGCATGGGTAGACAGCTACTGTTCACTCCGTGCCTGGGCCGATTTCAACACCAAAACAAAAATTACATGGTGAAAATATCGACTAATAGCACATTGTTGGCATGTATATGTCATAATTTTTAAAAAGGGGAATTGACATGATACTATGAAGTACTAGGGGAAGGTAAATAATTGTACATAGAATTATGATTTATTAGACTTTTCAGCCTTTGAATCAAAAATATGCTGAAAATCGTATCACTCTGCACATGTTTGCTATGGAACATCCGGGTACGTGAATACTCTTTCCCGGACGTGAGGTCATAAATAGTAGACCAGCGCCGTGACTAATTTTCTATGCAAAGAGAGGCAGATATTTTCGACATTTCAATTGAGGATTTCGAGTAGACAGAATTTTTTTGTGATATACTAAGTAATTGAAAAACTTAAAAATAACATATACTTGCCGTAGGTAACAAATTAAGGGACATTTATTTGCTTAGTGTATCAACTTTAAGGAATGATGCAGTTAGACCGCAAACTAGAGTGCCACAAAGACATCTATCAAAATATGACCTTTTGACCCTATAGAAGACAGAACACTGGGGGCAGCATCACCTAAAGTTATAGGCGTGTACATTATACCAAGATACACCTCCATACAAAATTTGAAAGAAATCCGTCAAGGAATGATGCAGTTAGACTGCACACTAGAGTGCACACAAGTCACCGATCAGAATATGACCTTTGACCCTATAAGAAACGGAACACTAGAGGACGCATCACCAAAATCTTTAGGCTTGTAGATTATACCAAGATACACCTTCATTCAAAATTTTAACGAAACCCCTTGAGAAATGTGGCCTATAGAGCGCACACAAACACAAAAATATGGCCTTTTACCCTATAAAAGACGGAACACTGGGGGCAGCATCACCAAAAGTTATAGGTGTTGAGATTACACCACGATACACCTCCATACAAAATTTGAAAGAAATCCGTCAAGGAATGTGGCAGTTAGAGCGCACACAAGAATATGACGCGGCGGCGTATTGCTGCTGAATCCAAAGTACCCCACCGGCATACTGCAGGGGGATACAATAAATAATAATAATAATAATCTTTTAAAGTCCACTCCAAATTTTTATTAAACCGAAGATGGAAATTCTTTTTGCCCAATTGATCGTGATATTGATTGAAATCATGCTAGGAAAAAAAATTCATACTTACATTTTTTTTAATTTTTTTTTTTTCAAGAACAATTGACTACATAGGTGTCCTTCATTTCATACAATTTTTCTCTCATGGAGATTCATGAGAGAAAAACAGTCTGTACGCCTGCCAATTAAAAGTGTGTATCTAGTATCTACTACTCAGTAAAAAAAATAATATATATGAAGATACTTTTTGCCGATACCAATCAAAGGTGCGAGGGAGTCACTCCGTTCTACTAATCCGATCAGAGCCCCAACTTTCAGGGTTAACGAGAGGTATTCTGAATTTAGAGGTAAATATATGTTATATTGACTAACAAAATGCATGCAATTTTTGTGATTTAAAATCTTTGAGGGTACAATTGAGGCCTATTTACGATCATTTGGAGTCAGGCACTCTCTATTATATCCAGGTTGCCTTCGCGTCAGATGCGCACAGCTAAGACAATGCAAACAATGGGTATGCACTATGCACAGGAAAGAGAGGTGCGCAGTCCTATTCACTAATGTAACACGTACCATTAAAAAAAAAGGTTGCTACATGTACATGTATATTGCACATTCGTGTAATTATGAAAAAACTGTTGATTGTCGTATGACATCTTTTCAGAATTTTATCCAACCTTATTGATCATTTGTTGTTATTCACTTACCCTTCTTCTGTTTCATTGATGATATCAGTAATCTCCATAATCAGACCCCAGTCTTCTGAGGCCTGGCTCTCGTTGGTCGCCCTCTCTGAATGAGGAAACAAATTGAATAGATAACAGATTAACAGCAATCATGAACATCATATTAGGCAGTGGAGTGTCCCCACCCCCCCCCCCCCTTCGACATTTTTGATTGGTAACTTTGGGTTTTTTAAGATTTGTCTCAAAAGTGCAAATATTGACTTCTAAATCAACACTATCTAATTAATAGGACTGGCAACATCAAGGAAAACTCCCTCCCTCCCTCCCTCCCTCCCTCCCTCCCTCCCTCCCTCCCTCCCTCCCTCCCTCCCTCCCTCCCTCCCTCCCTCCCTCCCTCCCTCCCTCCCTCCCTCCCTCCCTCCCTCCCTCCCTCCCTCCCTCCCTCCCTCCCTCCCTCCCTCCCTCCCTCCCTCCCTCCCTCCCTCCCTCCCTCCCTCCCTCCCTCCCTCCCTCCCTCCCTCCCTCCCTCCCTCCCTCCCTCCCTCCCTCCCTCCCTCCCTCCCTCCCTCCCTCCCTCCCTCCCTCCCTCCCTCCCTCCCTCCCTCCCGCCCTCCCTCCCTCCCTCCCTCCCCCCGGAATAGGAGTATGGGCAGGATACGGGCTCTGTAGACTAATCGCAGGCCAAATGTAATCCAGGCATAAGGTAGTGACTTCAATGCTAGATGAACAAATAAAGATTTTTTTTGTAAGTTTGAGTGAAAACAGACCATTATTAATGATAAAAATTGGGGAAAACTGATCTGATTGATTCCGTTATTCTCCCAACTATATTATAACAATTTAATTATATCTTAGGTGAGTTTAAATCTTCACAAAGCAGTGAATTGGCTCTACAGATGTATATACAATCCCAGACATTTAAGTGTTGAAAGATTTTTAAAAGCCTGTGTTATGTCTTTTCATGGAAAAACGGTTGGGAAAATTCAAAAATGGTTGGGGGAATTTACTGTTAGGGGGCGTTGCACAGTGACACCTTCAAAGAAAACCATAAATATCTTTGTAGTTTGAGAATTTTTTTCAGGATTTTTTGCATGTTATAGGATTAGTACTACTTAGAAGGAATATAATAAGTACCGTAATATTACATACAAAAATTACTCAATTTTTTCATTGACCTTCAACAATGTTACCGAGTCACTTTAAGAAATTATTTATTTCAATCAATGCACGTTTCTCTCCAAAACCCCTGGTTACGAACTATCTAATTCACCTGCTTTACATGTAATAGCATCTATACAGATTTGCAACACTTTGCAACATTAGCTGCTATTGTCTGGCAAGCATCTGGTAAGCATTTGAGTTGTTAAAAGAAAGTTTTGTTAAAGAAGTAAGCATTATAAAATTAGTTAATAGGTCCAATTTGGGTCCAACCCATCTTCAAGCTCTTTTTCCTTTTTGCCACATTTTTTTTTTTTTTTTAAATCTGTGAATTTTTTTAATTGTTTTTTATTGTTTTTATTGAAAGCCAAAAACAAAAGCAGAAGACACGATGATAACAAATATATATGTACAAATATACCGGTATATGGTAAAACTTAAAAATCCAATTACATGTACATGTAACATGACGAATAAGATCTCTCCACATGTACTGTACATGTACAGTGTACATTAAAATGCCATCAAATTCAACAACAACAACAAATTAATAAAATGTGTTCAGAGGATGAACAATTAAGTTTCCAAATTACCGGTAAAAACCATTAAAAAAAAATTTAAGTATAACTTAGAATTCTTTTGTGCAATTTGAAATTAAATATTCTTTTTTACCTTCGAGATAGAAATAAAGACCTGCAAGTTAAGATCAGATTTTTGGAACCTACATTGAATCACACAAACATTAAAGATAAAGACCAGTTATGCGATTGCATTGTGAAAGAAACGTTGTGGAATCAATCAGAAAAGGTTGAAAGGTTCTGGAATCATCAAAATGATAAGAAATTTGGCCCAGTCTTCGGAAAGTTACAAGCACTGTACACAGAAAGATGTATATGGGACTATGCACACATGCGCGACACGTGCGTTTATCTCTCACATCCCAATAGATAAACTTATTTACCAAATATATCAAATAGTAGGCGGTTTCCCGGCAAAATTGTTATCATCATGTATTAGTCAAAACATATTCTTTCACATGATTGGTAATGAGCTTCCATTTCATTTTTTGAAATTGGGGCGTTTCCATTACTGGTCTTTACCTATAAGACACAAGCATATCCTTTTTGCTACATTGCTTTCATTGACACTGTCCAGGGTCATACTCCATTCAAAAAATCAACCCAAGAGAACTATCAAATGCAACTGCACTCTCAACAAAAGCATATTGTCCTGCATAATAGTGAACACAATATGACTCAATCATCCTCCTACCGCAGTACAGGGGAATACCACTTACCGATTCATTTAACGTTCATGGACAGTAGACTGTGGCACAATAAATATCAATCCACAAACATGTACCATAATAGTCTACAGTAAATGTGATAAAAACCTACAAGATACTTGCTTAGTACTTTTTACAACTCCTTCATAAAAACTACAGTATATCATTACACAATATTTTGAGAGCTAAAAATATGGAATGTGTATCAACTCCATAAACTATCTAAATGTATTTGTGTTGTTAATATGTATCAATTATTGAATGATAAATTGCCCCAGTCCCTAATTCAGTATTGTTGTTTCATAGAGCACAAATATGACACTAGAAAAAAAGAGAAAGTAAGAAGTTGAGTGTACCTATAGAAAGACAACGCAGGTCGACTTTTCAGTGTCATTCAGAGGCATATGCTTTTGGAATGATTTACCCCTATCTCTAGGGAGTAAGCATCAGTGTTTTGCTTTTGTAGAAATCTAATATCATATTAGAGTTCTACAAAATGAAATATAGTTTATGGAGTTGATACACATTCAATCATTTTAGCTCCTGAAATATCGTGTAGGCCTAATGTTAGACCGAAAGCTTCAGTCTCTATAATCGTCGGTTGTTCCACTGAGACTACGTCTGGCTCCACTAGACCTCCGGTTATAGAGACTGAACGACTGCCTATGCCAGCCTGTGTTGAACTTATTCCGCTAGATTTTAGCCGCTAGGCCCCTCCCACAAACTTGCCACGGCCGTATTGTTATGCCCCCAAAATCCCCCAAAATGTATTTTTACCTCGTTCATTTCCAATTTTAAATTAGGCCTAGGCTATAATACATCGGTTCCACTTACTAACTTCATTGATATAATCCGTTTAATGGTCCCTTTTAAGGAAATTATCGGTCAAAATCGACATCCATGTTGAAAATCTTGCAAGCCGTGTTTAACTCTCGCTGCCGTCAATCTCATCCCTTCTAGTCTACGCTGAAGGCAAAATGATTATGAAGGAAAAACTGTGCGCCATCTACACGTTCGTAATGGCGTTATCACAGTTTTTCCTTCATAATCATTTTGCCTTCGGCGTAGACTAGAAAGGATGAGATTGACGGCAGCGAGAGTTTAACACGGCTTGCAAGATTTTCAACATGGATGTCGATTTTGACCGATAATTTCCTTAAAAGGGACCATTAAACGGATTATATCAATGAAGTTAGTAAGTGGAACCGATGTATTATAGCCTAGGCCTAATTTAAAATTGGAAATGAACGAGGTAAAATGACATTTTGGGGGATTTTGGGGGCATAACAATACGGCCGTGGCAAGTTTGTGGGAGGGGCCTAGCGGCTAAAATCTAGCGGAATAAGTTCAACATAGGCTGGCATAGGCGATCGTTCTGTCTCTATAACCGGAGGTCTAGTGGAGCCAGACGTAGTCTCAGTGGAACAACCGACGATTATAGAGACTGAAGCTTTCGGTCTAGCCTAATGTCAGATCTACTGTAGTTTTTATGAAGGAGTTAATGTAAACTCAGTGTACAGCGCTCAATGCGCAAAGTTCTTCATGCAAGGGTGGTGCCTCTCCTGTACACATGCAGGGCCTCCATTTAACGTCCTATCCGAGGGACGGAGTGTTTTCCACTGAACATAGCCTGCGTACTACTATGAAACAAGGGCACGTTAAATTAACACACAACGCAGTCTTCAGTCATCCGCTTTACTGACTGAACCAACTCGCCGCGCCTCCTCTATAAACACAACACCCATCATAGCACAACACCCATCACAGATTCATACAGTTTTGGCAGCAGCAATAAACATACTAAATAGTAAATATAGAGACTAGACGTAGACCCTAGTGACTAGTCTTAAAGAATTATCCCGTTTATTAGATCTGACCTAGAGTAGACTAAATCTAACATATATGCAATGTCTAATTCTAGTCTAACCTAGACTAAAATTAAACATTGGCATTAGTTATTAGTTAATGTTAGATCTTTGAGACGTTGAGTTTGACTTGAACTTGAAGTTGAAGTGAAAATAAGATTATTTTGTAAGCCTAGATCTAGTAGATAGAGGTCTAGACCTAGACCTATTTGAAAGTTTTTTAAAAAGCAGGCTTACCTATTCTCTGACCAACGGGCGAGGTAAACGGGTTTGGTCGCATGAACGACATGGCTGTGACTTTATGCTTTTCGTTCCAATTTCATGAGATTTAATACAGAGAAACCCTAGCATAGCCACGTAAGTCTGCACAAGCTATAGCCTACAGTACAGCAGGTTATCTGGGTATTGTTATTATTGTGGTCCCATATGTTCACATCCGAGACGGGCTAGTTTAACGCTTTGTCTACGAGTATGACTGTACGACAGACTCGCTTGACAGACTTAAAATGTAACTTCGTTTGCAACATGATCATATTGTAATTTATGTAATAATTGATTGAAATTTCATTCAGAGAAGTGTGCTAATATTATTACACAAAAATTTACAATTTTGAATGTTTACTAGAGGTCTAGTGAATGTTTTACATAGATTCTAATCATACTGGACATGTATCATCAATATGACGTAATTTCTATTTTTGGAATTGGACCTGTGTCGAGCAATATGCACATGATTATGCTTGATCCATAAATATGGAATGAAAAAGATATAAATCTGGGTGCATACATGCATGCATGCATGCATATCAGCCAGGGGCGGCGATCCCGGGGGGAACAGGGGACCGGGGCGGGGGGGGGGGAGGACACGTCCCCCTCAAAAAATTTTAGGGGGATATCGTCCCCCGGCCCCACCCCCCTCCGGAAAATTCGAAAAAGTACCCTAAAAAATGTGTAGCAAATACTGACTAAAGACTGCAACACACTTTCAGGCTCTGGAGGGCCCAAGAGTGAGCGTTAATACAAAAAAAAAATGCAAAATTTTCTCGCTCGATCGGCAGATACGCTCCCTCGCATAATATCCTTCAAAATGTACAAGTAAATATTGTAGAAAGGTGAAGTGTGAAAAAAGTATATTGATGGTTTTAGTTTTGCTAAGGAATGTAATTTTGTAATACAAAAAAACTTCAAAATCCTGTGAGTGAGTATAGTCACTTCGATCCGTCACCTTCACCCCCTCTCGTGCAATATGCTCCCTCGCACTGCAGTGTCGTACTGATGGGGGGCGGGGGCAGCCCCCCCCCCCCGAATAAGTTCAAACGTGCTGTATTTCTAATTCGATACCAGTGATTTACAAATGTTGCTGAAATGGCATTAATTTTCCCTGAGCTTCCGGGGGCTCTGTCCCCTGGACCCAAGGCCTCAAGGCGGCCCCCTGATTGCTCATCTGACCATTATAAAAATGATGCCTAAAACCCCTTAGCTTCCGGGGATTCTGCTCCATGTACCCCACCAAGGTCCCTGAGGCGGGCCCCTCTATATGCTCATCTGACCATTATTAAATGGCTAAACACCCTGAGCTTCCTGGGGGCTCTGCCCCTTGGACCCTACCAAGGGCCCTAAGGCGGCCTTCTCTATGGAAATTCATGTGGCCATTATTATTATATTTTTGCACTGTCACTTATCTAGTGTAATCATATGACTAATGAGTATTCATGAAATATGTATTTTTTACTAAAAGAACCACTATTTATCAACAGAACTGTATTGAACGTCGTGAAACTTTAAGTTATCACGTTTCTGTTTTTTTAATAAATAATACCCTCTCTCAAAAGTTATTTAAGCTTACACCATGTTTCTACACGTTCAATATTTATCATGACAGAGCAACAACTTTTAACAGTTTTCTACCTCTCATGAGTTTTTAAAGGAGGAAAAACCAAAATTCTGGTAAGTCAATGAATTGATTGATTGATTGATTTTTATTCGACAAGCTTCCAACATACAACAATATACAATAATAACAGATCAAAAAAAAGTCAGCTTGAACAGGATAACCCACGAAAGCTCGAGAGCTTATTTCCAGTGGGGTCCCTTACAGACATGTATAAAAATTAATAAGTTAAAATAGTAATATTTACAGACAGATAAGAAAATTAAAAGAACTACTTATTAAAGATAATAATAATAATAATAACATTAAACTGATGATAGAAATGATATTAAGTACAAGAAGAAAAAGAAGAAGGAGAGGAAGAAAAAGAGGAGAAGGAAGAAGAGGAAAATAATGATGAATTTGTAGAATTTCTATAAATTAACGTACGAAAACATAAGTATATACAACATGAAAAAGTATGAACCGACAGAAGAATACAAATTTCAATCATATAACATGTCATTCACTTCTCTTCTCTGACTGTCAAGTATTAGGTATTCCTTTAATTTCCTCTTAAAATGATCATAGTTTCCTATTTCTTTTTTTAAAAAAAGAACACATCTATGACACATCTATGTGTTTAAAAAAACTTAATTCTAACTTTGGCTGTTTACCAGGGTGTAAAACTGTAAAATTAGACGATTTATCAATACGGGGAGAGCGGGGAGTGAATTCGCCCTATTTTTGATGTCACTCTTCTAGAGCCGTCATTTCATCATACGCAGGAAGACCATGCTTTTTCATGTATCAAGTCATAGGTAATGTCTAGCTAATATCCCACTCTCACTGGGGTCAGGCACACAGTTTTCACAAAAACGAATCATAAAGTTAATTACGACAAAAGGGCGAAATTGCCCCACCCTGGGGCTGGTTCGTCCGTTTGGCGGGGTATGTACGCCCTGTTACGTACATGAAACAAATATAGTGTTTTAAAACTTCAAAACATTTATTTAAAAGGAAATATAGAGCCAACGAAATAATCTCTGACGAAGGATGGGAACAAATAAGCTGAACCAAGGTGTACTGAGCGTAGAACAGCTGGTGATAACACTAGGCGGACTCTGAAAAAGGAAAACAAAACTTATCTCAAAATAAATAAATATAATAAGTCATAGAATCAGATCAAGTTGGATAAACACAGTCGTCACTAAACTTTACTAAAGTTGCCAGGTAAGGGCCTGTATTTTCACTTTCAATGAAATCTAATAATTTTGAAGAGCCCCAAAGGTAGGAATAACCACATTGAATGGGGTAAGTTCGCCCCTCAATGCGGGGCAAGTCCGCCCCCGGGTGAACATGACCCGTCCAAAACGGGCGAACTAGCCCCATGGGGCTGTTATCGTCGTTTATCTCGTCCTAGGCAAAATGTACAACCGATGTTGACTTGTTCCAACATTTTTTAATAGACACATATCATACCATTTCAACAAGAAAAACTACCATCACCACCTCTATCAATGTTTACAGGTAAATACAAAAAACGTAAAGACATTTTTTTTTACTCAAGTGGCCTTGAAATTGAAATTTTAGCATAATTTTGTTTATCAAAAAGCCACTGTCCTCGTGCTGTTGTATGTTGTGCGGTGTGGCTAGTTTGTCATTACATCACCGGCGAAAGTTTTATCCAATCACCGCAAGGCTGAGAATCGAGGGGTGGGCGGACTTGCCCCCAGGGCGGACTATTTATACCCAAAGTCCAGTATCACTCATACATGTAGTAACGTAAATTTCGCATATAGTAACGTAAGTTTAAACAATATAAACAGAGTAACAGTACAAGGCATTACTGAAGATGTTCTGATTTGAGATAACAGTATATTTGATCAAGTTTACAAAGTTTACGATGTCAAAACGATACTGCATGATTTTCTGTTCACGTTTGAAATTCAGATGTCAACTGAATTTCTAGGTTTACTTACTTAACACGAGATTTACAATGTTTTAAATGATGCCTAAATTGGTAGATTTATTCTCTTATTCTGTTTCTAAGATACTGGAGCCCTTGATACACATTATAGCCATACAGTTGAGCAATGTTTTAGATGTTTCTTTAATAATTTGATAACAAACATCTTAATATTTCTGTAATGAATCTAATATTAAGTTTCAATGATGGTAAGTTACGTGGCTATATATTTAACTTTTTTCCTTCATTCTTGGGATAGGAAACGGAAAGAAATGGAGAAAAAAACATGACTTTCATGCTGAAAGAAAGAGAGTCTTCAAATCAGTTGTTATAGATAAATGAACTTGAAGACGAGATTGAGATATTTGACAGATTTTTATTATCATATTTCGGTATTGGAATTTTTATGTCATTTTTATGTCAGTTCATATAGTTTGACCAACAGGCATTGTATATAACAATATTTCATTTTCATTTGCATATCATTTTGTATAAACATTTTAGGAGACATTATTTTAAAAAGGGTGTTCAAATAAATCACTGGACGTTGCAGCCTTGAACGATCACTTATGCATGTCAAATTGACTGTAACATAAATCATGAAGACAATTTGAATCCTATCTTAATTACATTTCAGCGTGAAGAATTTCATGTCTCGATCAGTAAAGGGTGATGGATAATAATTTCCTATGCTTTGGTTGGTACAATACGTTGGTACATAGCAGTTGAAGATTGAATTGAATTGTTAATTTTCATACAATTTGCTGTGGCTACAATAATATGAGCTTGTAATTTTGATCGGAAGATACCATCTTACTTGCTTAGATAATTATGTTAAACCTTCACTATCATCATAGGCGCCGGAAGTGGGGGGGGGGGGGCAGGGGGCACTTGCCCCCTGTCTGTAGTAGTTTTATTTCTTACCTTTTACCCTTTTGATTTTATGTCTGTTATTTATTTATGACATGTGTATTTGTATTTGTATTTTGTATTGTATCAATAATATCTTAATGTTTAATAGTTCAGGCCTTATGTTAATTTTGATCTAGTTTTTAAGTTGTTTTAGCTCTCTTATGGTATCTTGTTTATATAATGTCTTTGTTTTTTTACAATGTATTCTATTTTTTGTAAATCTTTGTATGTACAGGGCTCTTTTGTAAAGCAGGCCTCTGGCACTGAAAAGACTACCCTGTTTTTAAATAAAACTGAATAAATAACCAAAAAAAGGAGGGGAACGCATTTTTGCCCCCCCCCCCCAAAAAAAAAACAAACAAACAAACAAAAAACGCCCCTCCCTCCAAAAATGGTGGTTAGTATTATCAACCCAAAAGAACATAAGAATAATAAAAACCGGAATTAAATCACATATCAAATTTCATTCAAAGAAAAGAAAAGTTAACAGGAATTCAATTCCCTAATCATTCTGCATGCCACTTATATTTATCAATGGAGGATTTTATAATAGCGATAGGCGCATATCGTGGAAATATTGTGAGAGGATGGGAAAGCGTGTGTTTTTTTGTTTTGTTATAGGGGTGAGAAGACATGAGCCCCTGAACGCTGGCGTACTGGTGGGGGTATTTCCTATTCGATACCAGTGATTTACAAATGTTGCTGAAATGACATGATTTTCCGGTATTTTTTTCTCATATACC